CTTTAACCCATATGTATTCAATATGCTCAAGACAAGCAGAGGCCAAAACTTCACACCTTAAATTATTTTTAACGTACACTCCCACACCGCCTCCGCGCCTGTCCAGACGATTGTGATGCAGAAAATTATAATTCTGATCAACCCCCGCACCCAGCCACGTTTCAGATACACCAACGATATCACAATTGTTACTCAATAATTGGCTTAGAAAAGAGTCAAAATTGGTCAGCAAGGACCTTACATTAACATGTGCGGCACAAAAATTAAGATCCATTGAGAACTAAAGGAGGGAAGGTTAGGAAGGAAGGAAATAGTTATCAAATTCAAACAAGCAGTGGAAAGTACGAGGGTACCAAAACCAATAAAGTTGGTGCTGCATGTAACTTAAAGTTAATTTGAAGTTCGTGTATTGTACAGAAACATATAGATACTGAAAAAAGCCTGTATCGTACATGTGGCATATGTGACATACCTAAATTACAAGATATAAAACCTATTCTTCGAAAAGTATATTATAATTGACTAATCTCATGGTGGTAAAGTATTTACTAACAAGCTGAGAAATGTGAGGTTAACACTGCTTATCACTAAGATTAATAACGAAGAAAAAAAAGCAAGCTATTATAATTTGATTCACAATTAATTTCTGTAAAGTTGGAAAGAAAAAAAAATAGCTGTGAAGTGAGGTGAAACGTAGCTACATACAGTTATTCCTTGATTTGGTCGGTGATTTGGTATATGTCGTCCTCATCCTGAACACGATACACTTCACCACGGCATTTACTGTAAATATTGCCGTTAAGACACCACACGCTTTTTTCGGAAAATTTTTTAACCGCCACTTTAAATAGGTGCAACCGTGATTGGGTAAGGTCCTCCTTAACTACGATGCCAGAGTTTTTAAGTGCTTTACGATGTTTTAACACCATTGCACGAGCGTCAGCACTATGGAGCTGAATTAAAATAGCCGGCGGCTTGTTTACTATCGGATTTTTTGCTCCTACTCTATAGCAGTTTTTTATATCATTTTATGTCATGTTCATCTTTTGTTGAAATACTTTCTTTACGGTGTTCAAAATATTCTCATCCTTTTCGAAATGGACACCGAAAAGACGAATATTCTGATTGCGGCTATGTTGTTCCTGCTGATCAAGTCGTTGTTTTAAATCCTTATTTTCCTGCGCCATCCTATTCACCTCTTTGCGCAAATTGGACACTTCGCTCTCAACCCTCTCTATTTTTGACACAATTTTTTCTTCGAGTTTCGCAAGTAGAGAGCCAATAAGTCGGTCTTGAAATTCGTCACCAAGAATTGTAGCGGTAATTTGATCCGCAACAATTTTCCGAATATCCTCAATATCATTCCTTAACAGTACTATTGTATAGGTTAGGTGTACAGCAACCGCACGGTAAACAAAACACTTATGCCCTCACGATAGAAATGACAAAGCAACTTCCACCACAGTGCTTCAGAAGAAAGCAACACTGATTTAGTAGCGAAATTAAATTTTTTCAGTATAAATCAAGAAAATTTGAGGACACACAGCACACCGATACCTTCTACTCCAGCGCCATCTCTTTTATAACGCCAGGTGGTCGGTACACTAAAATTATTTTTTACAAAATTCCATTTTTCAAATGTAGTAATTTGATTTCTTGATTTTTTTTAGCATCAGCGCTCTCTTTAACCAATAATTTCCAAACACCGGTACTAATGCCAATCATTATTAAGTTAGCTTATATACATTTCTTACCATTTCGTTCATAGTTCCGTTGCGTGGTTTCAGCAAAATAAAAAAATAAGCTGAAATTTATTACATTAAATAGGGACTCTGTGCGTTTGCCAAGACATTTTCAATAGCATTATTACCCAATTAAGCTTAATCTCCTTGACGAGTGGTGGACATATTTCAATCCCCGCATCCCTTAATCTGCAAATAAATTTCTGAAAATCTTCTCGCCGATTACGATCAGCTATAATCATTTAGCTCCGGGTCCCCCACCGAAAACCTCGATTTTAATGCAATTCCCCTTTACTAATCAATATCCTGGGAGCATTATCGAGATAAAAGGATTACAGGAGGTTCCTTTTGCAGCTAAAGTTAATCCCGGAAAGCAAAAATAACGTCTTGCAGTGTTTTAGGGATAATCGATTACGAGTTCTACGAAAGGGCATTTCCTTCGTAGATAGGCGAGCGCTAAAATTGCCCCTATCAACGAGAGGATATCTCTCGGCAAGTTTTTTGGCGTTCCACTTGGGATGGGTGGAAATATACCGGGCGTTTCGGGAACGGTGGGTAAATGATACGGGGCGGTCAAACGAAGGAGAAATCAAAGTAGTTTCATATAATAGAATATAATGTTAATGCAATTTTTTGTTAACAAGCAACTCGTAATAAAACGAATGATACCACCAATTGAAGGGCGCTAGGTGGCAAATATAAAAGGACTTAAAATAATTATTAATATTTTCTATCTTGATGAGACTTCATTAATGAGGGTTATATAAAACCTAAAATGAAGCAACAAAAATTGCTCGTGAAGATTTCATGAAAGGTCAACGGACGGGTATTACACTACTATCAGGAAAATGAAAATTCTAAAGCGGCATACTTTGTTTAACTTAATATCTCATTTGAACAAAAAATTGAAGCAAAGTATGTAGTTGAATATTTGTTTTCTTCATGAATTATAATTCAAACGAGAAGATCCTAATGATCTAGGTCAAGCTCTCAGTCAGGGTTAAATTGCCTCCAAGACAAATTTCAATTGTTTGTCGATAATTGCACAGGGCTTGCTAAAATTCCCGCTGCAACTGTTGTCGACTTTCTTTAGGCAGACCTAGACCTATTCGTTAGTGCATTGGCATTTGAATTCTTCATAAAATTCATAACAGGCAAAACTCTGCAAGTACCTGACTTGTTATCACGACTATGGCTCCTGAGTCAGATAAATTGACTACAAATTGTACTTGTCTAGACTCTACGACACTGTAGTCACAAGACACTAAAAAGGCAAGTAGGAAATTGCTGTCTTTCTTAAATACACTCCATCCCAACGTTTCTCACGTATTAGTAATTTTTGAATTTGTATTTTCTTACTGTTTTATTATTTTATTTCAATAATATATTATTCTGGTTTAATAAATTATGAATGTTGGTTGTGAAAATTGATATACCCATATATTGTTTGCTAATCATTTGTATTTTACATTTACGTGCTACTCGTAGGCAATGAATAAGAACCAAACAAATTTATTCAAATTTCTAAATAAATACAAGATGTGGTTTATCACGATGCATGTTAAAAGCTATATAATTTAAGCAACCCCTGCAAAAATACAGCCCATATATTTGTTGCAGGCATGTATGACTGGTTTCAAAAAAAAAAAACTGATACGACTCTTAAAGCACTTTTTTTTCAAAGTTTTGATTGATAATTATTTTAACATTTCTAATATTTTTAATGTAAAAAAAAATTGTCAGTGTAGTCGCAAATACGTTACAAACTAAGTGTAGTGGCTAAGCTTAAAGTGGCTCTACATACGAGCAGAGAGTTAAAAGCAAGAATTGTGACCAAGTTAGAAGATGGTTGGTCCTCACCATTTTTTCCGTTAATAAACAATGGAGACAAGAAGAAACGTTTGAAAGGAAGATGCGATTCGGCAGACAAACAGTTAGTTCAGTTCAGGAAGATCAGGCGCATCTTCGGAGAGTCGAGGATGACCCTTTGCGCGCAGAAGGCAAGAAGTCAGTAAAACCCCAGTTTGTCGAAGAATTAGGGCTTCGCATCTCGAGTGCCGGACTGCGACAAAAAAGAACACAGTCAATTCCCAACAGAAGCAAGCACAGCTTATTTTTGCTCTAAAATATCACGCGCAAGAACAGCAGTTTTGGGATAGAATCATATTTTCCGATGATCTTCCAGTCTTCCAAATTGTGTACCAGACAACCAGCGTTTCAACCCTCGTAAATGTATGGGGATGGATTTCATCCTGAGAAATGGTGGATTGAGAGAAGATTTTTTATTCAAACTTATGCCGAAATATTACAGAACTATATGGTGCCCAGTGTGGAACAGTTAAAACAAGACAACAACTCTTATGAATTGAAACATTGAAACGTTGCCATGGCCAAATAACTGTTCTGCCATCAAACCAATTGAAAACATATGGGGGATAATGGTGAAACGGCTGTATCGAAGAAATTTTATATCTCAAAACAGCGAGCAGCGATGTCAAGGTATTCAGGTATTATGGGAAGTATTGTCGCTTGAAGGAAATTTTTCAAAATATTTTGCTTCTTTTTGTCCTGTTTATATTAAAATGTTGGGCCCCTGCTGGCACGGAACAACCATCTTACAAATTTGTTACAAATCTTGCATTTGCCCAAACATAATTATTTTGAAGTTTTTTATTTAAAAGCTGGAAGTTATCTTTTTATTCTTAAAATAAATGAAAGTTGGGTGTGTTTAGTTTAGATAGTGTTAATAATAAAACTAACAATAAAAAATAAAATTGAACAAAATACTGAATACTCTCAAGACACCTTCACAAATTTACCAAAGGGGATGTCTCTTATTGCTTGCAATAATTTCGTGTTCAAACAAACTGTAATTAAGGCTAATTAACGCAAGAGTTTTTGGTAATAGAAATAGATTAAATAATAAATTTTATTGTAAGAGATGGATATACTTTTCTAGTAGTTATGAAGTGGGTGATGCAATTAGTTGCCATTTTGGACATCAAAACACACTTTGTTTTGTCAAACTGTGATTTGACAGGTTGATGATATGTATACTGTTAAAAAAAAGGCGGAATTGTCAAGCTGTATCAGGTTTTTATGAAACTAACTGTACTTCTGAAACTGTCCAAAATTGGTGTCTCCCATTTATAATGCCTAGTTTTACGTCAGTTCTTTAGACCTTGTAGAGCGTGGCTCATCTCTCGGCAACATAATTTTGACGTACAAGAAAAGGAACTGCGAATTGAAAATACGTACGGCTCTGAAAAATTGCTGAATGCTTCTTGGGTTCGTGTCAACAATCAGCTTGAAGATTTCCTTTTGCCTCACTTCGCGTAGAACCTGCCTGTAAGTCGACGGGCTCGCCTGGCGAATATACATCTCTGTTCTAGGAGTGGACGGAGATTTTACCAACTCTTGGAGCTTAAACAAACCTGGAAAAATGATTTGTCTTTGTATTAGGTCTCGATGAATTAATGCAACTAATGTTTTTCTCCAAAGTCAGCAATAAGTAAAGCATTCGAAAAATTATATTAAGATATATAATAATGAAAAACCTTCAAAAGCTCTGACAGTGGCTGGATTACATTGGGACTGATATCATTGCTATGTAACTTATGCTACCGTAAGTTATGACAGACAGAATCGAGAGCTCTACGAAAATCAACCAGGACAACACAATAGAATGCAGACTATAGATATGTCAATGCAACCCCTTTCCTTGCGAAAACAGTACATGGTTTCTAGTATAATGCCGAGAGCAGACTCGTATTTCAGAAGCCTCCTCAAGAGTATCTATGTAAGAAGCTATTGATGGTAAGGTTATTGCCTGTATGACCTTTCCAACTAGGCTTTTGAATGCGTTAGCCATGAGTTTCTTGTAAAAAAAATAAATTTTAAAGTATAAGTAGTGAAAATTCTTAAAATCTCATTAAATTTTACCTTAACAACAAATCGTTACGTTACCTAACGGTGATGTTGCGGAACCACAAGTCGCTTTGCTTGGGATGCCAGAAGTCGCAAAACTGGTTCCAATTGTTTTCTAATTTATACTAACCACTTACGCTCGAAAAAAGGATCGCATATAGTTTCTTTGTATGCACGTGACACAACAAAGCGAAAGTGAAATTTGGGTAGAACTTTAAGTATCTCCAAGTACTCGGGGAATACAGAAGGCTGGTTTCGTTCCAATTGGCTTAGATTAAATGAAAGTAAATCAGAACATTAACGCTCATACCACTAAACTTCCGGGTGTGTATATAAATAATAGAATTAAGATTAAATAAACTAACATTCCAGATTCGAAAACTGTTAATTTTTGAGACGGCTCTAACGTTTTATTTTAGAAAACTTTATTAACGTAATACTCGTATCATATAGCATATAGCAGAGATAATTTTTAAAATTCAAAAAAATATTGTTCGAACTTTGTGTGATGCACAAAGTAAGGATTACTGTGAGCCTCTATTTAAAAAAATGAAAGTACTAACTGTCCCTTCAATTGTCAACTATCAGTGCATAATGTATGTCCATGAAAACAAAAAAGTTAACATTCACATGTATGATACCAGACATAAAAACGATCTGTGTAAATAAAACTCCATCGTCCGATAACTTCATCGTTATTAAATTGTATACTAAAATATCAAAAACTTTTTACTTCGATAACTGATATTGATGACTTTAAAAGTATTGTTTATACATGTTTGGGTATTTTTTTTTTATTTTATGCTCGTAAATACATTAATTCCCGTATTCGCCAGAGCACTTTCAGCAGCAGGTTCATTTCTGTCTCTATTCTTCTGAATCGTCAAAAAACAATGTCGTACTTTGCCTTTAAGTATCATATTAGAAAAAAATTAGCTAAATTGCAACAGTGTTGTGGCAAGTTCCTAAAAAATTCACAAGGAATAGCATCATGCCCAGAAAACTTATTATCACGTCTGCGTCAAGCAGGCGGTCATGTGATCAATAGAAGAGCAACTGTTAATGAAGCACCAAATATATTTTACTGTAGCAGTATTCACACGATAGTAGGATGGTTTGTGATTGGTTTTCAAGCATACTTAGTAATGATCCTCCAAAAAAGAAAAGCAATCTTAAACAAAAGTTGTCGTTCCTCAAAAACATATAGAAAGGCCAGAGGAATAAGCCAGAGACGCAGCTTGGAAGATGAGCTCCAGCTCTCATGCCATCGTATGTGGGGACGTCCAGGAGGTATGCTAGATCATAGGAGACCATCTCTTCCAATTTTCGGAAGTCTGTGGTCATCCATCCGTCCAGCATGAACTCTCCATTCGCGCCTTCTGTTTCGGAATCATCGTACAATATCAAGGACACCGCAAAGTTCTCTGATGTCTTCGCTTTTTTGTGATCTCTCAGTGTGTTATAGATTTTAGAGTTCTCATCTCTCCGGGTCTCACACAGGTCTTATATATGAGAGTTTTACTTTCTATGGTCATATGTTTGTTTCGCCATGTTACATCTCGCAGATACCCTGCTATGAAGGCTGCCTTGGTTGTTTGGCATTTTACTTCTTTTTTGAGATCTCTGCTGCTCGTGACGCCGACGCCGAGATTATTGAAACTCATGAACTGCTCTACAGGTTCATCGAATATGGCCAATTTACATCTTCTGGGCTCTTTTCAGACTTTTCAGCAATCTGCCTGATATTGCATCTATTGTTGACCTATTTCTTCTAAAACCTTGTTGCTCTTCACACAGCCCACGAGAAGGTATTTCGTCCTCGAGGATTTTCGTGAATAACTTCAGTATTGAGCTTAACAGCGTGATTGCCTGATAGTTTGCTGGGTGTTTTCTGCTGCCTTTCTTAAATATTGGGATGGGTATCCTTTCCTTCCATTCAGTTAGTGCTTTGTTGGTCTTAATTATTTTGTTGAAGAATACGTGCAGCTCCTTTGATAGTTCCTCTCCTACGTACATCAGCAACTCGTTCTATATTTCATCTTCTTCAGCACACTTGCGGTTTTTTAGTTTGATGGTTGTTTGCTCAATTCTCTTCTTAGACACGGTCCATCGTTTCTGAGGGAAGCTAAGGTGTTCTTTCTCAATGTGTACTCCATTAGTGTCATATATATTTTGTTATAGTTTATTGCATTGATTGATTGATATTACTGATAGTATTGATCCTCCAAAAACGAAAAGAAATCTTAAACAAAAGTTGTCGTTCCTTAAAAACACATAGAAAGACCAAAGGAATGATTGATTAGTTTCCTATCTATTGATATTTTTTCACCAAGATCAAGGTAATGAATTGATTGCGTTTCTTGTCGAATTAGAGCATACATCGTTATGACTGAAAAATATTGATATAATAATTATAAATATTATATTAAGTCTGGTAGATTTTGACTAAGATAATATTTATTTGGCTATAAGCAAAAACAGACTTTCCCTTAAAGCGTTTTGCTTTAGTTTTACGTATAAGTAAGTAGAACCACAGCCTTAATTGGATAGCAATCAACTAAAACTCAGCAATCTCGGATATGAAATTTAGACGATCTTAAATGAGCCTTTTGTGTTTTGCAATATAATCCCCGAAACATAAAATATTACCGTGCTTTTTCAATCCGCTAACGAGCCATGCAAACAAAACGAGCCGTTTTAAAACAATTGTAGTCTTAGCCGTGTTTAATGCCCAGCGTGGAAATTAAATTCCGCATATTTTGAGGCGTCCTGTCTCTATATACGCGGAAATGCATTAAACAAAACAATGCTCAACGGAGGAAAAAATTAATTTGCGCTGTACATTTCGTCTTGATGCGACGAAATGCAGAATCCGTATTTTATCCGAAAATGAAATTAATTCCGCTTTTTTGACGTTCCGGTATCTCAGATTATTGTTAATAATACAGGGTGTTGATTAATACGTATTTTTAACTTAATAAGTTGCTGCAGTTCAGTGTATGAAAGTTTTTTCTTCTGCATAATTTCGTAATACCAATGTTTGAACTTTTTGGCTTCTTGACTTGAAAATTTTACATTTAACGCTAATTTAGCTCTTAATTGTGCGGAATACTACCTAAAACATGTCTTACCTCATTTTCTAAGGCTGATGACTTTTTGTAAAACCTTGTAATATATTTATAATAAAAAAAAGAATTTTTCAACCAGTTGTGTGTAAAACAACTCTTTTTTTAAGCCAAATTAGAAATGCCTATTAAAAAAGTTCAAGTAGGCTACCAAGTTTATTTTATTTGATATTTTTTCCTTATTAAAATGATTTCACTGTTTGAAACCAGAATATTTTGAAAAGCAGGTTTAAGTAAGAGAACCTTTTTATACATTTGTAAAAATTGAGGAGGAATTAATTTTTTCCCATATGTGTAGATAAACTAAGAACAAAACCAAATTTCTTTAGAAATCAGCATTATATTAGATATTAAAATTAAATGCAAATCTCAAAAACCACTTATTTTGGACCACACACTTTAGGAATCACCATTAATTCAAACTGATTAAATAACTTACTTTATAAATGAGTATTTTCTTTCACGAAACTAGTCAAGAAAAAAGAAAAACACCACCTTAGTCTATAGTTATTTCTATTAAGTTAAAGATTGAATCAGATAAAAAATATGAAATCTCGTGCTAGACACCAATGGCTTACTTTTTTTTTCTACAGATTCAGAAAGGTTGAAAAAAGTGAAAGATGTGTGCCCTCTTCATGTATATTATATTACAAACAATGAAATATGTGTGACATCCATTTCCCACGGATCTAAGCCATTTCGGACATTTCCGGATATTACCGCACGGATTTGGTAGCAATCGTATGTTTTCGGAAATATTACCGCACGGCTTGAATTTTGACGTTTATCAATTCTGACATTCATGTCAATGAATGTATTCGTGTTGTTTTGCAAAAATGTACCCAAAAACTAACGGTCGTGGAAGAAGTATAGTATAGTGCTTTTAGTAAACTTTTTGCGTAACTAGTTTATTCAGCACTCCAAACTGATCAGGTTTGTATACGAACTTAATCTGCCATGGAAATACATACGGGAATTTTGAAACAACTCGTTGTACTTTTTAGTCTTCAGTAGTGACGCCAAAGTGTTTGACAAAGAAAGTACTTTTTGCAGTACTTTCATTGGTATTCATGTTATTAACTATATATGTAGATTGAAAAAACTTTGCAAACTTTGGCATTAATAGGAGAATAAAAAGTTTTTATTTTAAACTTTATTTTTTCAAATAGCATTAATTAAATGCAATGTACTTGTTAAAAAATCATGAAAAATCATGATAAAAATTCGTTTATAAATTGTATTAACCTTTGTTGTACAAATTATTTTTTCATTAAAATTTTCTAATATTTTTAGATTATTTTATTCAATAAATTTTTTTTAGTTATTCTTCTACTAGGCTTATTTCATGAATGAAAATTAGGAGCATCAGAATGATCAAATTA